GTTTGAGTAGGAGCTACAGACACTTGTGAGTAAATAGAGGATGATGGATATGGACTAAGTGAGGTATGAAACCAACACCTTTTTAACTTTTGTAGTCTCTGACAAAGATACTATAAAAAGACTTTATGACATTCACAGAAGTCAAAAGACTTCATACAGTTTGTCCATCCAAATGCTCTGGTGACAAGTAACCTCAGGTACCTGAGATAGTAACTTAGCTTCCTCTGTGGACATGTATTATTTTTAAGCACTGGGAAGATTTAGAATTAACTGCAAAAAGCTAAGAGAATCAAAGTCATAGAATTTAACACCTTATGTTAACAATAAGTATATGTAAGAATTGATGAAATATGGCATGGACCATGGAGCAGATACAGTATTATATCAGTGTTAAAATTTCTGATTTGGATAATAGTTCTGTGATTACAGAAGATGAGGTTCTTGTTCTTAGACAATCACTCTGACATACTTAGGAGAAAAGGATGGATGATGTCTGTAACTTACTCTCAAAAATCAATCAGGAAAGAAATTAAATATACATATGCCACATGAAAGGGAAAGAATGATACAGCAGATGGAGCAAACTGTTAATTTTTACAGTTCTCAGCAAATTTGAAATTATATTAAAATAAAAAGTATATATATATTTTCAAGCTCATTTACAATTGCATCAAAGAGAATAAAATACCTAGGAATAAACCTAAGCAAGGAGGTCAAATATCTATACTCTGAAAACTATTAAGATACTGATGAGAGAAATTAAAGAAGACACAAATAAATGGAAATCTATCCCATGCTCATGGATAGGAAGAATTAATATTGTTAAAATGGCCATCCTGCCTAAAGCAATTTACAAATTCAATGCAATCCCTATCAAAATACCAATAACATTTTTCAATGAACTAGAGCAAATAATCCTCAAACTTGTATGGAACCACAAAAGACCCAGAATATCCAAAGCAATTCTGAGAAAGAAGAACAAAGCCATGGGTATTATGCTTCCTGACTTCAAGCTCTAATACAAAGCTACAGTAATCAAGAGTTTGGTACTGGCACAGGAACAGACCCATAAATCAATGGAACCAAATAGAGAGCCTGAATGTAACCCATGCATGTATGGCCAATTAATATATGATAAAGGAGCCATGAATATATAATGGGAAAATGACAGCCTCTTCAATAATTGCTGTTGGCAAACCTGGACAGCTACATGCAAGAGAATGAAACTTGATTACTATCTAACCCCATAAACAAAATTAAATTCAAAATGGATCAAAGACCTGAATGTAAGTCATGAAACTATAAAACTCAGAAAAAAACATAGGCAAAAATCTCTTGAACATAAGCATGAGTAACTTTTTCCTGGACACATATCCTTCAGCAAGGGAAACAAAATAAAAATGAACAAGTGGAATTATATCAAACTAAAAAGCTTCTGTACAGCAAAGGATACCATGAGGAGAACAAAAAGGCAACCTACAGTATGGTAGGATATATTTATAAATGATTTATCTGATAAGAGATTAACATCCAAATATATAAAGAACTCATATACCTCAACACCCAAAAAACATAACCCAATTAAAAAATGGGTGGAAGACCTGATCAGGCATTTTTCCCAAGAAGAAACACAAATATCTAACAGGCACATGAAAAGATAATCCATATCTCTAATTATCAGGGAAATGCATATCAAAACTACAATGAGATATCACCTCACACCAGATAGGATGGCCACTATCCAAAAGACAAGAAATAACAAGTGTTGGCAAGGATATGAAGGGAACCCTTCTACACTCTTGGTGGGAATGTCAATACGTGCAGTCACTGTGGAAAGCAGCATGGCAGTTCTTCAAAAAACTAAAAATAGAAATACCATATGACCCAGTAATTCTACTTCTAGGAACTTACCCAAAGAAAACAAAATCTCTTATTTGAAAAGATTATTTATAATAGCCAAGTTATAAATATTTATAATAGCCACATTATTTATAATAGCCAAGTTATGGAAGCAATAAAAGTGCCCATCAACAGATGAATGGATAAAGAAGATGTGGTACATATATACAATGGATGTAAAAAAGAAAGAAATCCTGCCATATGCAAAAACATGGATGAAACTAAAGGGTATTATGCTATTTGAAATAAGCCAGGTGGAGAAAGACAAAGACCATATCATTTTTCTTATTTGTAGAATATAGAAACAAAGCAAAATAAAATGAACAAAATAGCAGAAGACTCATAGACACCGAGAATGGATTGGTGGTTACCATGAGGGAGGGGGAGGGGAATAAAGTGACACAAAAATTCTCAGTTACAATATAAGTTGGTCACAGTAATCGTAGTACAGCATGGAGAATATAGTCAGTGATTGTGTAACATCTTCCTATGTTGACAGATAGTAACTGTACTAGTGGGGGTGAGGATTTAATAATATGGGTAACTTTTGAACCACTGTGTTGTATACTTAAAACCAATATAAGATTGTATATCAATGATACTTCAATAAAAAAAGAAATCAACCTTAATATATTAATAAATATAATTTTAATTACTTGAAAACCAAACCAAACAGGACTCCTAAAAGTTATTGTTAAAAACTGCTAGAATTCAGCAGACTAACAGATAGGTAGGTCACAATATAGGTAGGTCATGGGGAAGGCAGTACAACATGGAGAAGACAAGTAATGACTCTGTAGCATCTTACTATGCTGATAGACAGGGACTATCTATCTGCAATGGGGGGGCAGGGGGTAAGGATTTGATAATATGGGTGAATGTTGAAACCACAATGTTGCTCATGTGAAACCCTCATAAGATTGTATATCAATGGTAATTTAATTTAAAAAATCTGCTAGAATTATAAATAGAATAAAACTTGTAGGCTAAATTTAAAAGCTGAAAAAATAGATATATAATTTGAAATTTTTAAATTTACTATTAATTATTTAAATCAAGAACATACCTCTGAACAGTCTTTTCTGCATACAAAAATCATGCGCAAGGCTACCAAAAGACTCACATCACTGGATGTGGCAATTTTTTTTTCTTAAGTGGCTATAAATTCTTTGCCACATCTCTCACTGAGAGGTGGGGTTTGTGCCCCTGCCTCCTTGAGCCTGGCCAGACTTGTATTGCATCAGTCAACAGAGTATGATTGCAACAACATTATATGACTTCCAAGGCCAAATCATTAAAAAACATAGTCTCCTTCTGGTTCTTTTGGAATGCTCACCGTTGGAACATTCCATTGTAGGATATTCCTTTTCAGAAAATGACTGCCATCCTAAAAGAGGGCTAAGTCACTGAGAATCCATACAAAGGTGCTCCCGTGGATATTCCCAACTAAGTCTAGGTTCAAGTCATCCCAGACTGGGCACCATGCATAGGTATTGCTAAGGACTGAATGTTTATGTCCCCTCATGTTGAAATCCTCACCCACAATATGATAGTATTAGGAAATGGGGCCTTTGGGAGGTAATTAGGTGTAGATGTGGTCATAAGAATGGAACCCCCATAAAGGGACAGTGTCCTTTTAAGAAGAGGAAGAAAGATTAGAACTCTCTCTGTGCACACCTGAAAAAGAGGACCCATGAGCACACAACACAAAGGTGGCTGTCTGCAAACTGGTAAAAGAACCTTCATCAGGAAGAGAATCAGCAGGCATCTTGATCTGAAATTCTCAGCCTCCAGAACTGTGAAAAATAAATGTCTGTTGTTTAAGCCACCCAGTCTATGGTATTTTTTTATGCCAGCTCTAACTGAGTAAGACAATTGTGAAGGAACCTTATGTACCCTACCATTTCAGACACCTAAGCCATTAACTATATCCTAGTTGAGGCCCCAGACATCAAGTAATAGAGATAAGCAAAACTTGTTTGCCCTGTCAGAATTTCCGACTCCTAAAACCCTTGAGCATAAGAAAATGCTTGTTTTACCCCACTTAATTGGGAGTGCTTTGGTATGAAACAGATAGCCAAATTTAAGGACGGGTTGTCTATTGGTTCTAGATTATCTGGGATTTGTTTTCTAAGCTGACTATATTTAAAGGTATTAATGACCCTGTTGTCAGTGGTTAAAAAAAAATGACACTGCTAGTACATGGCATGCTGGCAATGACAAAATGGAAAGTAGGACTTTTGGCAACCATACAGCTCCTGCCAGAGAAGATTTTAGTGAAATAAAGCAGCACAGTGGGGTTGGTTTCTTGCTTCTAAGAGCACTAGGGAAATTATGGAAAGAAATGTTCTGTTCAGGCTTTTAAATTCCCAGCTTGAGATCTGGGTAAGGGACCAGAAAGTTTTTGTGACTTCCCCAAAAGAAACCCTTACCTTCTATTGTCACAGGGCTGAAAATTCTGAAAATCTAAATCTATGAATGGGTTCGCTATAGTGCAAATTGAATTCTCAAACTTGTATGGCCTCCTGTGTTAAAGTTAGGGCAATGATTGGGAAAGAATGGGACCCTGAAAATTGGAATGGGGATAATGTAGGCAGATTCCAATGAAGCTGGAAATTAAACCCTTTAATACTGCTGAGTCTTACTAAAAGAATCAGCCCTTTCATCCCTACTGAGGAAGTCAGATTTCCCTTGCCAGAAGAACCTGTACCAGGCTCCCCTGAAGTAGAAGCTTTCCTTTCAGGAAACTGCTGACCCGTTCCTACTATCTCTCATTGCTTCTAGAGCAATGAGATCTATAACCAGACCCCAAGTTCCAACTGCAATAATAGCCTTCCAAAGACTCTTCCATCAGTCTTCACAACTGCTTAAGGTCTAATTCTGTATCACAAACAATTGTTCTGCTTCTCTGATGAAATCCTGGACGATACATTAGGCATAGAGGAAGTAGCCAGAAAAGTTCATTTGGTGAGAGGGGAAAATAAATAGGAAAAAAAGGAAAATACACACCTAGAAATAAGAGGTGGGAATATTACAGTTACAAACAAGTTACAAGTTACTGAATCAATCAAAAACTGTTTCTTCCACATGGATCTACTTACATTTTTTGGAGGAATATAGTTTGGATTTATGCCTTTGGCTATTGAGAGTTGTACTATCCAGGGAGAAGAATCAGAGATTTGAAGAGAATCTCTTGTTAAGTATTCACTGAAGGGCCTATGTGCAAATGGAACATGAAATATTATCATTACTGGAAGAAAATAACTGCATTTTTTTATTGGTACAACCAATACCCAATGAGTTATTGCTACAATCAATATCCAAACAATTACATATATTGTTTCCATCTTAGAAACATCTCTTTCCCATAATCAGTGCTCTTTCTACCAGATTAGTGTTTCTCAAAAATTTTTTACTGTTGTCCCCAGTAAGACATACACTCGACATTATGATACAGTATTTGTAAATCTGTGTATATCTGTAACAAAACATCATGAAACACTGCTTGCTCCGGGCAATGTATTCTGATTTTTTAAATTTCATTTGATTTTATTTTAAAAATCTGAAACTGATTTCATGTTTCAACAGTGGGTTGAGACTTGCAATTAAAAAAAAACACTTCCTGAGGATGAAAAAAGATGGCAGTGTGAGAAGTGAGGCAGCAACCTCCCAAAATCAAATAAAACAAAATACAGCAAATACAAACTAATGCTGAAAAGCAACCTGAAGACTATAGAACAGACTGCCTACATTTAGGGAAAAGAGAAGACCTCACAGAAAAGGGTAAAGTAGCAAAGCTGCAATCTGGTGGGACCCAAGCCCTCCCTGTGCCTGAGCCCACAGGGGGTGAAGAAGAGAAATGGAGCAGGAAGGGAGTAGAAGCCCAGGACAGCTGAACACCCTGCCCTGGAGATCTGCTCTAGGATCATGAACCTATATTATTACATGGTGATCTGGAAGTTAGTGGGGTTTAAAAAGCAAAGACAGGTGGAATATTTGGAGAGACTGAGATTCCAGCCACTTGTGGAGAACAGGTATGCATAATTGGCCTATGGGACAAAAGAAAGGCAGGCAGTTTGAAGGACTTACCAGCAGTGAGAGGGGTGCTAAAGGAGAAAAGATTACAGAGTGCTCTCTGCTCAGGAGACAAAAGCTTTGCAGCCTGCTCACTCCTGCAGGTTGGGAACTCTAAGAAATTTCAGACACTCCATCCCCCTGTCTGGCAACACAGCCTCAAGGCCCCCACTGTTGTACGCAGACTGCTGGTTCTTCCTTTTGGCAGGTGCTGTTCCCACTCACTGGCTGCACTGCCATTATGTCAGACATGCTGGAGGGTGGTCCCTCTATGGCAGCTACAGGGGCATAGCATAGAGGCACCTCGCTGTATGCTCAGCTACTGGGATCTGGCATTGGAGGCAGGCATCACAGCCAGAAGCCAGGAAACACTCCCAGCTGAACTCTTTCCTGCTGGCAGGTGCCGTTTCCACTTTCCTGAGACCCCTGCCATTGCTGCAGGCCCACGGCAGCTCCAGAGAGTATTATCTTTGCTCACTCAAACAGCTGATGGCTGAAGGAAAGGAGAGGATTAAAGATGGTGGTGTGAGAGGTGAGACAGAGGCTTCCTCCTACAACCACATATAATAGGAAAATATAATTAAAACGGAAAGAGCAACAGGAAAGAGGACTGCACCAGACTGCATAAACCTGGAGAAAAGAGACCTCAAGGAACAGGGTAATGTACCAAAGCTGTGGCCAGGCAGGACCCAAGCCCTTCCCCCACCCCAGTTCACTGGGGGGAGGAAGAGAAATGGAACGGGAAGGGAGTAGAAGGCCTGGGACTGCTGAATACCTAACTCCAGAGATCTGCTTTGGGAGCACAAACCTACATTGCATGGTGCTTTCATGATACTGTTGTGATTAGGGGATTGGAAAGCTAAGAGAGGCAGAATTCCTGGAGAGACTGAGATTCCAGCTGCTTGTGGAAAGCAGGGATCCATATCTGGCTGCTCTGGAACAAAAGAAAAGTGGCAGTCTGAGAGACTTCCTAACAAGGAAGGCCTTAGCAAGAGGGCTACTAAAGGGGCAAGGGTTGCACAGAGCTTACTGCTCAGGAGAAAGGACAGGTAGACAAAATTGTCTGGGTACAGTCTGCCCAGCAGGTTGGGAGCTTTCACAATTTCCAGGTGGGCCAGCTCCTTGGTTGGCCACACAGCTCCAAGGACCCCCTCCATGATACACAGCCTACTGCATCTTTCTCCTGGCCAGCCCAACCTGGCTCGCAAACCAACCAATACTAGCCTAGCATTCGGCCAGCCAGAGGCAAGATCTGTCCATAGCAACTACAGATGCAACTATAGAAGCTTATACCAGTGTGCTCAGCCCACTGATTCAGTCAGTGGAGATAGGGAAAGCAGCCAGGAAGCAGGAAACAGCTCTTTCCTCCCTCCAGTCACCAGCACCACTCTCCTGTGACCCCCGACATTGCTTCAGGGACAGAGCAGATCCAGATAGTAGAGCTTCTGGACACTAGAGGGCACCATATACAAATATCAAATGGCAAAGGAACCTGGTGAAAAGTAAAATTATGAATACAACTCCTGAGAAAGACGACATGAACCTCATGACTCTTCCTAAAAGGGAGTTCAAAATAAGAATCATTAACATGCTCACGGAGGTATGGAAAGATATTCAAGAACACAGGAATGAATTCTGGTCAGAGATCCAAGCATTGAAGAGCACAATGTAGGGTATTAAAAGCATATTAGATACAGTGGAGGAGAAGGTAAATGAAATAGAAACTAGAGAGGAGGAATACAAAGAAGCTGAGGCACAGAGAGAAAAAAGGATCTCTAAGAATGAAAGAACATTGAGAGAACTGTGTGACCAATCCAAATGGAACAATATTCGCATTACAGGGGTACCAGAAGAAGAAGAGAGAGAGAAAGGGATAGAAAGTGTCTTTGAGGAGGTTACTGATGAAAATTTCCCCAATCAGGAGAAGGAGATAGTCTCATAGGCCATGGAGATCCACCCACAGATCTCCCAACACAAGGGACCCAAGGAAGACAACACCAAGACATATAGTAATTAAAATGGCAAAGATCAAGGATAAGGACAGACTACTAAAAGAAGCCAAAGAGAGAAATAAGATCAATACAAAGGAAAGCCCATCAGTCTATCATCAGACTTCTCAGCAGAAACCTTACACACCAGAAGGGAGTGGCATGATGTATTTAGTGGAATGAAGCAGAAGGGCCTTGAAACAAGATTACTTTATCTGGAAAAATTATCATTTAAATTTAAAGGAGGGATCAAACAATTCCCAGATAAGCAAAAGCTGACAGTATTTACCTTGCACAAACCATACCTACAGTGTATTTTGGAGGGACTACTATAGATGGAAGTGTTCCTAAGGTTTAATAGCTGTCACCAGAAGTAATAAAAACACATTAAGAAAGTAGAATAGCAAATTACTAGGCAAATGCAAAATTAAATTAACTATCCCCAAAATCAATCAAGGGATAGACAGAGTACAGAATATGATACCTAATATATGAATAATGGAGGAGGAAGGAAAAGGAGGGGAAAAAGAAAAGAACCTTTATATTGTGTTTGTAATAGCATATTAAGTGAGTTAAATTAGACTGTTAGACAGTAAGGAAGTTAACCTTGAACCTTTGATAACAACAAATCTAAAGTCTGCAATGGCAATAAGTAATCACCCTAAATGTAAATGGTCTGAATGCACCAAACAGAAGACATAGAGTCACTGAATGACAAAAAACAAGACCCAGCTATATGCTGCCTGCAAGAGACTCACTTTAAACCCAAAGACATACATAGACTAAAAGTGAAGGTATGGAAAAAGATATTGCATGCAATTAATAGAGAGAAAAAGGAGGAATTGCAGTATTTCTATCAGATCAAATAGACTTCAAAACAAAGAATGTCACAAGAGACAAAGAAGGACATTACATAATGATAAAGGGGTCAATCCAACAAGAAGATATAACCATTATAAATATCTATGCACCCAACACAGGAGCACCTACTTATGTGAAACAAATACTAACTGAATTAAAAGGGGAAACAGAATGCAATGCATTCATTACAGTGCATTCTAGGAGACTTCAACACTTCACACACTCTGAAGGACAGATCCAGAAAGAAAATAAGTAAGGACACAGAGGCACTGAACAACACATTAGAACAGATGGACCTAACAGACATTTACAGAACTCTACACCCCAAAGCAGCAGAATACACATTCTTCTTAAGTGCACATGTAATATTTTCAAGAATAGATATTATATGCTAGGCCACAAAAAGAGCCTCAGTAAATTCAAAAAGATTGAAATAGTACTAACCAGTTTCTCAGACCACAAAGGTTTGAAACTAGAAATAAATTATGCAAAGAAAACAAAAAATCCAACAAACACATGGAGGCTTAACAACATGCTACTAAATAATCAATGGATCAATGACCAAATAAAAACAGAGATCAAGCAATATATGGAGACAAATGAAAACAATAATTCAACACTGCAAAACCTGCGGGAGACAGCAAAGGCCATGCTAAGAGGAAAGTATATTGCAATATAGGCCTACCTCAGGAAAGAACAATTCTGTATAAGCTGTCTAAACTCACAATTAATGAAACTAGAGAAAGAAGAACAAATGAGGCCCAAAGTCAGTAGTAGGAGGGACACAATAAAGATTAGAGCAGAAATAACTGAAATTGAGAAGAATAAAACAATAGAAAGAATCAATGAAAGCAAGAACTGGTTCTTCAAGAAAATTAACAAAATAGATAAAACCCTAGCCAGACTTATCAAGAAAAAAAGAAAGTTTGCACACATAAACAGAATCAGAAATGAGAAAGGAAAATCACTATGGACACCATAGAAATACAAAGAATTATTAGAGAATACTATAAAAAAATACATGGTAACAAATTGGATAACTTAGAAGAAATGGACAACTTCTTAGAAAAATACAACCTTCTGAGGCTGACCACGAAAGAAACAGAAAATCTGAATATACCAATTACCAGCCACAAAATTGAATTGGTAATCAAAAAACTACATAAGAATAAAATCCCTGGACCATAAAGCTTCACCACTGAATTTTATCAAACATTTAGTGAACACCTAATACTCATCCTCCTTTAAGTTTTCCAAAGAGTAGAAGAGGGGATACTTCCAAACTCATTCAATGAGGCCAGCATCACTCTAATACCAAAACAAGGCCAAGACACTGCAAAAAAAGAAAATTAGAGACCAATATACCTGATAAACATAGATGCAAAAATATTCAACAAAATATTGGCAAACTGAATTCAAAAATACATCAAAAAGATCATACATCATGAACAAGTGGGATTCATCCCAAGGAAGTAAGGATGGTACAACATTCAAAAATCCATCAACATCATCCACCACATAAACAAAAAGGACAAAAACCACATGATCATCTCCATAGATGCTGAAAAAACATTTGCCAAAATTCAACATCCATTCATGATAAAAACTCTCAACAAAATGGGTTTAAAGGGCAAGTACCTCAACATAAAAAAGGCCATATTTGACAAACCCACAGCCAACATTATACTTAACAATGAGAAGTTGAAAGCTTCTCCTTTAAGATCAGGAACAAAACAAGGATGCCCACTTTCCCCACTTCTATTCAACATAGTACTGGAGGTCCTAGCTATGGCAGACAACACAAAGAAATAAAAGGCATCCAGATTGGCAAGGAAGAAGTTAAACTGTCACTGTTTTCAGATGACAGGATATGTACATAAAAAAACCATAAAGAATCCACTCCAAAACTACTAGATCTAATATCTGAATTCAGCAAAGTTGCAGGATACAAAATTAATACACAGAAATCTGTGGCATTCCTATACACTAACAATGAACTAGCAGAGAGAGACATTAGGTAAACAATTCCATTCACAATTGCATCAGAAAGAATAAAATATCTAGGAATAAACCTAACCAAGGAAGTATAAGATCTATACTCTGAAAACTACAAGACACTCATGAGATAAATTATAGATACCAATAAATGGAAACATATCCCATGCTCATGGATAGGAAGAATTAATATTGTCAAAATGGCCATCCAGCCTTAAGCAATATATAGGTTCAATGCAATTCCTATCAAAATATCAACAGCATTCTTCAGCAAACCAGAGAAAATCATTCTAAAATTCATATGGAACCACAAAAGACCCTGAATAGCCAAAACAATCCTGAGACCGAAGAATAAAGCTGGGCAGATTACACTCTCCAACTTCAAGCTCTACTACAAAGCCACAGTAATCAAGATAATTTGGTACTGGCACAAGAACAGACCCATAGACCAATGGAACAGACTAGAGAGCCCTGATATAAACCCAACCATATATGGTCAATTAATATATGATAAAGGAGCCATGGACATACAATGGGGAAATGACAGCCTCTTCAACAGCTGGTGTTGGCAAAACTGGACAGGTACATGCAAGAGAATGAAACTGGATTATTGTTTAACCCCATACACAAAAATAAACTTGAAATGGATTAAAGACTTGAATGTAAGTCATGAAACCATAGGCAAACATCTCCTGAATATAAGCATGAGCAACTTCTTCCTGAACACATCTCCTCAAGCAAGGGAAACAAAAGTAAAAATGAACTCATGGTACTACATCAAACTAAAAGGTTTCTGTATGGCAAAGAACACCATCAACAGAACAAAAAGGTATCCTACCATTACAGGAGAATATATCTGTAAGTGACATATCTGACAAGGGGTTAACATCCAAAATACATAAAGAACTTACATGCCTCAACACCCAAAAAGGAAATAACCCGACTACAAAAGGGCAGGGGATATGAACAGATACTTCTCCAAAGAAGAAATTCAGATGGCCAACAGACACATGAAAAGATGCTCCACATCACTAATCATCAGGGAGATGCAAATTAAAACCACAATGAGATAACACCTCATACCAGTAAGGATGGCCAGCACTGAAAAGACTAAGAACAACAAATGCTGGTGAGGATGCGGAGAAATGGGAACCCTGCTACACTGCTGGTGGGAATGTAAGCTAGTTCAACCATTGTGGAAAGCAATGTGGAGGTTCCTCAAAAAACTAAAAATAGAAATACCATTTGAGCCAAGAATCCCACTCCTTGGAATTTACCCAAAGAAGACAAGTTCTCAGATTCAAAAAGACAGATGCATCCCAATGTTTATCACAGCACTTTTTACAATAGCCAAGATATGGAAGCAAATCAATGATGGCCCATATAGCTCACTTTACAAGCAAGACAGAAAGGCACTAAACCCACTGCTCACCAATAGCTAGGGCTCCCAAACAGGATATTGAGCTTCTGGGCACTAATGGGCACTGCATACACAGAATTATTATTTTATAGGAAACACTAAAAAATATGAAACAGCAAAGGAATTTGGTCCAAACAAAATTAAAAGAAAAAACACCAAAATGGGCTTAGTGAAACTAAAGTCACCAATCTTCTTGATAAAGATTTCAAAATGAAAGTCATAAACATGCTCATGGAGCAACAGAAAAATATTCAACATCTCAAGGAGGTCTTCAATAAAGAGACAGAAATTTTGAAAATTACACTATGTGAAATGAAATATAATGGAGGGATTTAAAACTAGATTAGATGAGGTAAAGGAGATGGTAAATGAAATAGAAATTAGAGAACAGGAATATAAAGAAGCTGAGACACAGAGAGAGAAAAAGATCTCTAAGAATGAAAGAATAATAAGAGAGCTCTGTAACCAATCCAAACAGAACAATATTTGCATTATACGGGTTCCAGAAGAAGAGAGAGAAAAAGGGATAGAAAGTCTCTTTGAGGAAATAACTGTTGGAAACTTCCCCAATCTGGGGAAGGAAATAGTCACTCAAGTCATGGAGGTGCAGAGATCTTCCAATACAAGGAACCCTAGGAAGATAACACCAAGAAATAATAAATAAAATGGCTAAGATCAAGGACAAGGACAGAATACTGAAAGCAGCCAAAGACAGGAAAAAGATCCCTCATAAAGGAAACTATCAGGCTATCAGACTTCTCAGCATAAACCTTACAGGCCAGAAGGGAGTGCCATGATATATTTAATACAGTGAAACAGAAGGGCCTCCAACCAAGGATACTCAACCCAGCAAAATTATCACTTAAATTTGAAGGAGGGATTAAACAATTTCCAGGTAAGCAAAAGCTGAGGGAGTTCACCACCAACAAAGTATCTCTACAGTGTATCTTAAAGGACCTGTTCTAGATGGAAGTGCTCCTAAGGCTAAATAGCTCTCAAAGAGAAAATAAAACCACAGTAAAGGAAGTATATAACTACTAAGCAAATACAAAATAAAATCAACTACTCAGAAAGTTAGTCAAGGGATACAAAGAGTACAGAATATGACTCCTAATACATAAAGAGTGGAGAAGGAAGAAGAAGGGGAGAGGAAAAAAAAGAACCTTTAGATTATGTTTGAAATAGTGTAATAAGCAAGTTAAGATAGACTGTTAGTAGCAAGGAAGCTGTCCTTGAACCTTTGGTAATCACAAATCTAAAGCCTACAATGGCAATAAGTACATATCTATCAATAATTGCCCTGAATGTGAAGGGACTGAATATACCAATCAAAAGGCATAGAGTTACAGAACAGATAAAAAAACAAGACCCATCTATATGCTGCCTAAAAGATACTCGCTTCAAACCCAAAGACACACACAGACTAAAAGTGAAGGGATGGAAAGAGATATTTCAGGAAAAACAATAAGGAGAAAAAAGCAGGAGTACCAGTACTGATATCAGACAAAACTGATTTCAAAATAAAGAAAGTAAAAAGAGAGAAAGAAGGACATTACATAATGATAAAGGGGTCAGTCCAACAAGAGGACATAAGCATAAATATCTATGCACCCAATACAGGAGCACCTAAGTATATGAAACAAATACTAACAGCATTAAAGGGGGAAATAGAATGCAGTGCATTCATTCTAGGCAACTTCAACACATCACTCACACCAAAAGACAGATAAACCAGAGAGAAAATAAGTAAGGAAACAGAGGCACTGAACAACACATCAGAACAGATGGACCTAACAGACATCTACAGAACGCTCCACATAAATGCACAAGGATACACATTCTTCTCAAGTGCACATGGAACATTTTCAAGAATAGATCATATACTAGGCCACAAAACAAGCCTCAGTAAATTAAAAAAGACTGCAATTGTGCCAACCAGCTTCTCAGGCCACAAAGGTATGAAAATAGAGATAAATAATGCAAAGAAAACAAAAAAGCCCAAAAACACATGGAGACTTAACAACATTCTCCTAAAAAAACAATGGATCAGGAGGAGGGGAGCCAAGATAGTGGCATGAGTAGTTCAGCAGAAATCTCCTCCCAAAAACATATATATTTTTGAAAATACAACAAATACAACTATTCCTAAAGGGGACACCAGTGGATACAGTACAACAGCCAGGCTACATCTACATCTGCGAGAACTCAGCATCACACAAAGGGTGTAAGATACAAGCCATGGCCGAGAGGAACCTAAACACCCCGCTACTGTGGACCCCACTGGGAAGAAAGGAGTTGGAATGGGGAGGGAGTGAAATCCCAGGACTGCTAAACAACCAGCTCTAGAAATCCACACTGGGAGCACAGACACATGGTGCACGGGGTGCTGGATATTAGAGAAACAGAAAAGCAAAACCTTCTAGCAGGTCTCTGCAACCAGCCCGAGACAAAAGAAAAGCGAGTGCTTTTTGCAAGTCTTAAAGGGACCGGGACACCACAGCTGGATGAAGTCATCCTAGCGCATTGAGCCCAGCAGGCTGGGAATCCCGGGGAACTCTAGGCAACCTAACCCCTTGGGTGGCAGCACAGCACTGAAGCCCCTCATGGTGATAGGCAGCCTGCCAGTCATTCCCCCAACTGGCGTGGACCCCGATACACCAGCTCAGTAGTGGGAGAGTGGCAGCATGTGCCGGGGGTGGCAGTCTCACAGGGGACCAGGAGCAGCCTGCACGAGCCCACGGCAGCAGTGGCCGAGCGGCACAGGGGTGGCCTGTTTGAGCCGGCGGCATCGGCGACAGAGCAGACGGCACAAGCCCGCGGTGGCGGCACCACAGGGGACCAGGAGCAGCCTGCACGAGCCCATGGTGGCAGCGACCGAGTGGCCTGGGAGTGGCCCATGCATTCCGGCAGTGGCAGTGCCAGAGGAGTCTGAGTGTGGCCTGCACACGCCAGCGGCGGCAGAATCAGAGGGGCCCAGGAGCGGCCCATGGGAGCCGGTGGCAGCAGTGGAGGAGCAGCCTAGGAGAAGCTGTGCCCCCAGCAGCCACCCAGAATCTCAGCCCAGCACACAGCCACCCGGGCCAGACCCAAAGGCCGCTGCTGGCACACAGCTTCCCGGCAGGGGTGCCACTTTCACAGGAGAGTGCACCCAGCATGCCTGCCACTCCCCGCAGGACTCTGAGCTACTCTGATGGAGACCCCACCCACAGCAGCTTAGGGGATTAACCCGGCGGCTACTTCAGGAGAGTGGATAACAAACACAGGTAGCAGAAAAGGGCAAGGTGACCAGCAAGTAGGAAAGGGCTTCGTTCTCTGAGCTGACACATGCAACACCTGCCTACAGCTACCTCTATCACCATGAAAAGGCAGAAGAATTTAGTTCAGTCCAAAATAGTCCAGACAACCCCAGAGAGAGGGCTTGGGGTGATAGACCTAACCAATATCCCCCAAAAAAGAATTCAAAATAAAAGTCATAACCATGCTGATGGATCTGCAGAGAAATATGCAAGAGCTGAAGAGGGAGAATACATAAATGAAATAATCCGTGGAAGGACTTAAGAGCAGACTGGATGAGGTGCAAGAGGCCATTGATGGAATAGAAACTGGGCTTATTTCACTGAGCATAATACCCTCTAGCTCCATCCATGTTGTTGCAAATGGTAGGATTTGTTTTCTTCTTATTGCTGAATAATATTCCATTGTGTATATGTACCACATCTTCTTTATCCATTCATCTACTGATGGACACTTAGGTCGCTTCCATTTCTTGGCTATTGTACATAGTGCTGTGATAAACTTAGGAGTGCATATGTCTTTTTCAAACTGGGCTGCTACATTCTTAGGGTAAATTCCTAGAAGTGGAATTCCTGGGTCAAATGGTATTTCTATTTTGAGCATTTTGAGGAATCTCCATACAGCTTTCCAGAATAGTTGAACTAATTTACATTCCCACCAGTGGACTAGGAGGGTTCCCCTTTCTCCGCAACCTCACCAACATTTGTTGTTGTTTGTCTTTTGGATGGCAGCCATCCTTACTGGTGTGAGGTGATATCTCATTGTGGTTTTAATTTGCATTTCTCTGATGACAAGCGATGTGGAGCATCTTTTCATGTGCATGGTGGCCATCTGGATTTCTTCTTTGGAGAACTGTCTGTTCAGCTCCTCTGCCCATTTTTAATTGGATCATTTGCTTTTTGTTTGTTGAGGTGCATGGGCTCTTTCTATATTTTGGATGTCAGCCCTTTATCAGATCTGTCATTTATAAATATATTCTCCCATACTGTAGGATACCTTTTTGATCTATTGATGGTGTCCTTTGCTGTACAGAAGTTTTTTAGTTTGATATACTCCCACTTGTTCATTTTTGCTTTTGTTTCCCTTGCCCGGAGAGATATGTTCATAAAGAAGTTGCTCATGTTTATGTCCATAAGATTTTTGCCTGTATTTTTGTCTAAGAGTTTTATGGTTTCATGACTTACATTCAGGTCTTTGGTCCATTTTGAGTTTACTTTTGTGTATGGGGTTAGACAATAATCCTGTTTCATTCTCTTACATGTAGCTGTCCAGTTTTGCCAACAGCAGCTGTTGAAGAGGCTGTCATTTCTCCATTGTATATCCATGGCTCCTTTATCATATATTAATTGACCATATATGCTTGGGTTTATATCTAGGCTCTCTATTCTGTTCCACTGGTCTGTGGATATGTTCTTGTGCCAGTACCAAATTGTCTTTAATTACTGTGGCTTTCTAGTAGAGCTTAAAGTCAGGGAGTGAAATTCCACCTGCCTTATTCTTTCTCCTCAGGATCACTTTGACTATTCAGGGTATTTTGATATTCCATATGAATTTTAGAACTATTTGCTCTAGTTCATTGAAGAATGCTGTAGGTATTTTGATAGGGATTGCATTGAATCTGTAGATTGCTTTAGGCAGGATGGCCATTTTGACAATAATTCTTTCTACCCAAGAGCATGGGATAAATTTCCATTTATTTGTGTCTTCTTTAATTTCTCTTAAGAGTGTCCTGTAGTTTTCAGGGTATAGGTCTTTCACTTCCTTGGTTAGGTTTATGCCTAGGGATTAACTAAGGATTATTCTTTTCTATGCAATTGTAAATGTAACTTTTTTCCTGATTTCACTTTTTGCCGCTTCATCATTAGTGTATAGGAATGCAACAGATTTCTGTATATTAATTCTGTATCCTGCAACTTTGCTGAATTCAGATACTAGATCTAGTAGTTTGGGAGTGGATTCTTTATGGTTTTTTATGTACAATATCATGCCATCTGCAAACAGGGACAGTTTGACTTCTTCTTTGCCTATCTGGATGCCTTTTATTTATTTGTGTTGTCTGATTGCCATGGCTAGGACCTCCAAAACTATGTTGAATAAAAGTGGGGAGTGTGGGTATCCTTGCCTTGTTACCAATTTTAAAGGCATAGATTTCAGCTTCTCACTGTTAAATATAATTTTGGCTGTGGGTTTGTCATATATGGCCTTTATTATGTTGAGGTACTTGTCTTCTATACCCATTTTGTTGAGAGTTTTTATCATGAATGGGTGTTGATTTTTTTTATATCATTAATCTACAAGTACTTGAAGAACATTATGTTTACTAGACTCCCCCATCACCAAGTCCCCCCACATACCCCATTACAGTCACTGTCCATCAGCACAGTAAGATGCTGTAGAATCACTACTTGTATTCTCTGTGTTGTACAGCCCTCCCCATGCCCCACACACACATTATACATGCTAATCATAATGTCCCCTTTATTTTGTCCCACCACTTATCCCCCCTTCCCACTCATCCTCCCCAGTCCCTTTCTCTTTGGTAACTGTCAGTCCATTCTTGGGTTCTGTGAGTCTGCTGCTGTGTTGCTCCTTCAGTTTTTCTCTTGGTTCTTATACTCCACAGATGAGTGAAATCATTTGGTACTTGTGTTTCTCTGCCTGGCTTATTTCAATGAGCATAATACCCTCTAGTTCCATCCATGTTGTTGTAAATGGTAGGAATTATTTTCTTCTTATGGCTGAATAATATTCCATTGTGCATATGTACCACATCTTCTTTATCCATTCATCTCCTGATGGACACTTAGGTTGCTTCCATTTCTTGGCTATTGTAAATAGTGCTCTGATAAACATAGGGGTGCATCTGTCTTTTTCAAACTGGGCTGCTGCATTCTTGGAGTAAATTCCTAGGAGTGTAATTACTGGGTCAAATGGTATTTCTATTTTTAGAGTTTGAGGAACCTCCATACTGCTTTCCACAATGGTTGAACTAATTTACATTCCCACCAGTTGTGTAGGAAGGTTCACCTTTCTTCACAACCTCACCAACATTTGTTGTTGTTTGTCTTTTGGATGGTGGCGATCCTTACAGGTGTGAGGTGATATCTCATTGTGGTTTTAATTTGCATTTCTCTGATGACTAGTGATGTGGAGCATCTTTTCATGTGTCTCTTGGCATTTGATTTTCTTCTTTGAGAACTGTCTTTTCAGCTCCTCTGCCCATTTTTTAATTGGGTTATTTGCTTTTTGTTTGTTGAGGTGTGTGAGCTCTTTCTGTATTGTGGATGTTAACCCTTTATCGGACATGTCATTTATGAATATATTCTCCCATACTGTAGGATGCCTTTTTGTTCTTTTGGTGCTGTCCTTTGATATACAGCAGCTTTTCAGCCTGATACAGCCCCACTTGTTCATTTTAATTGTTCATATTTTACTTCCCTTGCCCACGGACATATGCTCATGAAGAAATTGCTCATGTTTACATCCAAGAGATTTTTGCCTATGTTTTTTTCTAAGAGTTTTATAGTTTCATGACTTACATTCAGGTCTTTGACTGATTTTGAGTTTACTTTTGTGTACAGGGTTAGATAATAATCCAGCTTCATTCTCTTACATGTAGCTGTCCAGTTTTGCCAATACCAGCTGTTGAAGAGGTTGTCATTTCCTCATTGTATGTCCATGGCTCCTTTATCATATATTAATTGACCATATATGTTTGGGTTAATATCTGGAGTCTCTATTCTGTTCCACTGGTCTATGAGTCTCTTCTTGTGCAAGTAGCAAATTGTCTTAATCACTGTGGCTTTGTGGTAGAGCTTGAAGTTGGGAAGCGAGATACCCCTTCTTTATTCTTCCTTCTCAGAACTGCTTTGGCTGTTTGGAGTCTTTTGTGGTTCCATATAAATTTTAAAACTATTTGATCCAGTTCGTTGAAGAATGCTATTGGTATTTTGATAAGGATTGCACTGAATCTGTAGATTGCTTTAGACAGGATGGCCATTTTGACACTATTAATTCTTCCTAACCAAGAGCATGGGATAAGTTTCCATTTTTTAGTGACCTCTTTAATTTTTCTTGAGAGTTTCTTGTAGTTTTCAGAGTATAGGTCTTTCATTTCCTTGGTTAGGTTTATTCCTAGTTATTTTATTCTTTTTGATGCGATTGTGAATGGAATTGTTTCCCTAATTTCTCTTTCTATTAGTTCATTGTTAGTGTATAGGAAAGCTACGGATTTCTGTGTGCTAATTTTGTATCCTGCAACGTTGCTGAATTCAGATATTTGTTCTAGTAGTTTTGGAGTTGATTCTTTATGGGTTTTTTATGTACAATACCATGTCATCTGCAAATAGTGACAGTTTGACTTCTTCTTTACCAATCTGGATGCCCTATATTTCTTTGTGTTGTCTGATTGCCATGGCTAAGACCTCCAGGACTATGTTGAATAAAAGCAAGTACAGTGGGCATCCTTGTCTTGTTCCCAATCTTAGGGGAAAAGCTTTCAGCTTCTTGCTGTTACGTATGATGTTGGCTGTGATTTTGTCATATATGGCCTTTATTATGTTGAGGTACTTGCCTTCTATATGCATTTTGTTTAGAATTTTTATCATGAACGGATGTTGAATTTTGTCCAATGCTTTTTCAGCATCTATAGAGATGATCATGTGGTTTTTGTCCTTTTTGTTGATGTGGTGGATGATGTTGATGGATTTTTGAATGTTGAATCATCCTTGAATT